ATGCTACCATTCTGTGAGCCAAACTGCCTCCGCACTGCGCTGTATCTTGTAGCTATGCAAACTGCTCTAGACAGTGCATTGGAAGCATCTGCCACAATTGTTTGTCTCACATACACCATAGTACCATACATGAGCTGCTTTGGAACATCCGATGGAACATATTTTCCTTCCCTTGTAACTTTTGCCAGCCTGAAACCGCAATTGAAAACAAGCCATTTCCTCTAGAACTATCAGTACAATCATGTATGTTTATTAAAAACAGAGAAAAAAAGGCTAAAAGAGAGGAGGAGGACCTCATGAGCATTTGGTCTCTCGGAATGCGAACATGATCAAACATAAGAAACCCGTTGTCCATTGAATTGTACGCTCCATTTCCCATCTTCGTTCCGATATCACCAACAATTATATTCGGAAGAGGAGAATGATCTTCCAAGCTCCGGAGTTGCACGATGAATCCTGGAAGAGGAAGTAAAAGCAATCAATACCCGAGCAAAAGAAAATGGCACAAACGAATCCTTCCGGTACATACCATGGACACCATAGTCTTTGCCGTCGGTTATGAGACGAGCATAAACAACAGCATGGGTTGAAACTTTTCCCAAGCCACCAGGCCACCACTGTTCAACAAACAATTACATATGAATATCTTTAAAAAAAATAAGAGACCTCAGCTTCTTGGGATCTACTCACTTTGGATGAAGTCTGAGTTGGACTGTGAACTACAAACTCATCAGTCTTGGGATCAAATGTAGCCGTCGTCTCAAGACCTTGAACATTCGAGCCGTGACCAAGCTCAGTCTGTGCATAGCACCCAATAATCTGCATCTTATTCGCCAGGGACAACCACTTCTTCTGCTGCTCCTCTGTGCCCTGCCCCTTAATAGCAGGCACAAACATTCCCTAGAGAAAGAGATACAAAAAAGCATGAATCAAAGGAATCAAAACGCTCTCAATACAAACTATCATCTTTATGTTACCCAGTGCAGATCCACATATGCGGGCTGATCGACGAAGAACCTCAATCTTCCTGCTTCTTCCTCTGTAACCAACAAAAGAGCACACAAATGAAAACGACGCAATACATGAAAACCAGGTGCTGAGTAAACAAATCCATACCATTAAGACGAAGCTCGATAATCCTCTTAAACGCATGAGCGCATTTTTTCAACGTGCTCTTAAACAGCTCCTTCCTACTCAACCGAGCTCTATCGCTTTTCTCGAAGACCTATGAAAGATAACGAGATCGAGAAATTTTCACAAATCGGAACACAGAAGAATCAAATCCCTAATCCTAATCTTCCGCATAAACATTTCCCGAAACGAAATCAAATCATCCGGAGACAGATTAACAAACAGAGAAATCGAGAGAATTCACCGGATCGCTGGCGACGAGGCGGGCAATTCGATCGGAAACCTCAAAAGCGTGGCGGGAACCGGCCCAGACGATCTTCATCTCGTCGACGTCGAACTCCGCCTTGTTCCTCTCATCGGCAAGGTGATCGACTCCCTCCATGATTTCCGAAACCAGAATCTAGCAGCTAAAACACTGAAAATTTTCCCTAGAAAATTCCAGAGATGTTAGTTTTCACTCGCAAATGATGAAGACAAAGAAAGCAAGCAAAAGAGAGACTCTACCGAATTTATTGCAGAGTAGTTGGAAGAGAAATAAAACTTTGATTTTGTGGATTAAAAAGAAAGACAAATCGATGAAAATGGATATAAATATTTTTAAAAATAAATTATATCCGGTCACTACAGACATATAGAAACCCAGGTGGGCAATGAGTAATATTTGGATTCTTTTACAAAACAACGTAGATATTACCTATCCATTTTATTAAAATACAAAGAAACAGACAGTAAAATCAGCTGTGTAATAAAAAGCTGTAATTCGGGCGTATCATAGCAAGAAAAATGTATGCATGCATCTCAAGGCTAAAGATAAGATAATGTTTTGTTTTGTTATGTTTAAAAAAAAAAAGGTATGGTCGCATGTATAGTTGTCTTATTCCCATTTCTAATTTTTTTTTTGGTAAGTTTCCCATTTCTAATTATGAAAGCTTTAAAAGTATAAAAATTTTAAACAAATTATTTACGAATTTGCTTTGTTCTTCCTAACCTATTTCCAGCCTTGCAGGCAACTGTAATCTGTATACTGTATAGTGAAAAAATTTATAGATTTGTTTCCATCATATTTGAATATTATATTTAACGAAAAAAATATTTTAATATTATAGAATTACTAGTATTATGCTCACCGAAAAATATCATTTAATTGCGTTTTTAATTTGAAAAGTACCTAAAATGAAATATACAAAATCTATAGTAAACGAACTATATTTATATTTTATGACCTCAGAAAAATATATCAAGTACAAAACATTTTGACAAAAACTATCCAAAACTGCTATTTGATTCAATCTTTATTTTGTCATATACATTGGTATAAGGTCTAATTGCTTACAGTGTAATCAAAAAGGCACTAGCCTCAAACCTCCAAAATATTATACAGTTTTAAGGCCCCCAATTTTCAAAAGTTAGTGATAGTGTAGTGGTTTAAAGAAAGAATGAAGTGTGTTTATTGAACCAACGCAAGTTCGAAACCTATTTCATTCTAAAGTAAATGTATTTTAATTTAATAGTCCATATGTCCTATATTATAAGCAGTTGGGCAAAATGTATGGGACAGACAGAATAACTAACAATTTTTATAAAATTAAGTTATAATTATTGTTAAAAAAAATAGAAAATGTTTATTTAAACTTTTCTTTTTGTCTTAGGGCCTGAAAACCCTTCGCAAGGCACTGGGTCGAAATGATTTATTTTGAATTTAGCAAACTTATTGGTTTTGCACTTGTTGTGCAGATATTGAATGATATCCCGAGTGTCTCTTATCCTAATGAAAACCAAAAGCTATTACAGTATGTAGTGTTTGTCAAACATTGTAATACTTGGTTTGAACAAGTCAGATAACAAGTTCGAAGTGGGATAAATTGTTGTCAAACATTGTAACACTTGCTGTACAGATATTCACTCTTAAGATGAGATGAAAATTGAAAAGTGAGATAAATTAAAAATAATCATTTTTGGAAAAAAAATTAATTAGAAAATTGAATAAACACATGTTGAATGGAGAATGGGTGAGTGGCTTGTGTTATTAGGAATATACACGTAGGAAATTAGAATGGGTGAGATCCTTGGGAGGCCTAAATTATATTCATATAGTAGGAGAAGATACATGTCCTTGAAAGAACATTAAAACCAAAAAAATTACAATTCCTAATAACACAAGCTTTTTAAAATTGTCAAGTCGAAGATTAATCCACACAGAAACCAAGTGGTCCTAATCAAAGTGACTAAGAATAATCAGAATATATATCAGAACAAATAAATTCCTCTTACTTTCTCTGTTTCTCTCCATCTCCTTGACAGTATAAGTTCCTCCATTACGTTGATTTCAGCCTCCCTCAGCACCAAACCACAACTCCAAAAACTCTCCTACGATTGATGACAAACCTCGGATAGAGACTATTGTTGGATAAAATGTTGCACAAAGTTCGCTAGGCTCTTTACTCTCTTCTTGTTGTGACTTGTGAGGACCTGCAACTCAAAAGTAACGCAATGGAGAGACGACCAGTGAGTGATTATTCAAGAGTTGTGAGTTTTGACTCAGCAAACATGAGTTGGCATTAGCATGGCTCTGTTAATCACTTTCTTGAAAACATTGATATTGCTTACAATAACTGCGTTTTCTCTTTCCACCAGACCTTTATTCAGTGGTTACTATTATTCGATAAATTTTGCTCTGTTTACTCTTTTCAAACATATCAAAACTAAGATGGACTTAATGTAAAAAATGACTTTTTGGGTTCGAATAAATTTTACATTCAATTAAAAAAAAAGGTTCCTATTATTCTTTATGTAAAGAAGTTATGACATGTCAATTATTCGAGTGTACAATTTAAATATATTCTTACTGGTGTAATGGTCACCAACTAACCGAAAAGAACGTCCTTTCTTTCATGAACACAAAACTGAGTAGAGGTTAAGTTTATTGAAGATCACTACCTTTTGTTAATCAAATTGGTTGACATATTAAAGTATTAAATTCATCTGGTAAAGATCGAAATCTCATGTTCACCGCATTTGATGGGTTGTGATTCCTCATGGTTAATGGGCTGACCTGAGAGAGTCTATTCCTCATGGTTAAAGAAACATGAAGAATTTTGCCACACATGAACGGATTAGACTCGCAAGGAGAGTGGTGAATTGCTTTCACTTTAATTTAAAATAGAATGACTTATGATGAATATCGGTGTAACTAAATGATGAATATCCGTGCAATGAATATCGGTGTAACACCAAAAACAGTTGTCTCAAAAGTACTAAATTTGAATGAAATATCTAAGTGCAATGTGCATCTGATAAACTGCGACACAGCTAATCAGTTGAAAAACCTAACCGCCGCGTTTTTTTGTTTCATCTTGATTTTTCATAGCAATTGGAATACAGATTTTGTCGCATGTGTTTGTAATGGTTGATCCACTTAAACAAATTGTTCTAAGTTCTAACTGTGATGGAAATCAGTTTTCTGTTATATTTTCATTCGTCACTTGACCATCGCTCTTTCTTTTTTTTTGGTCGTACAACGGGAGACTAAGCCTCCCAAATTTATTAAAACAAAGAAAAAACTACAACTACAACCGGATATATCTGGGCCTAGTGGCACCAATCCTGTCTGCCTCCAATAGAGGAGCTACATCAAGTGGAACAACATCAAGTAAATGATACCCAAATGGAAGAGAAAAGGCATAGTTTGCCAACCCATTAGCAAGATAGTTGGCCTCCCTATACACATGTGACACTCGGACTGTCCAGTCCTTTTCAATAAAGCCATGACACAGACGTACCAGGAAAGACAGAGGATGCGAATCACTTATCCCTGCCTGAAGAAAATCTACCACCAATTGTGAGTCCACTTCCAACTGCACGCGAGCATACTACTTCTCCCACGCCATGCACAGACCATAATAGACACCCCAGAGTTCCGCCAGAGGTGCTGAGCATCTCCCAATGTTAATCGCGAAACCCCCACACCATTGCCCCTCCGCGTCTCTAAGGACTCCACCCGCCGCTGCTGAACCCGGGTTTCCCCGAGAAGCGCCGTCGGTATTAAGTTTAATCCAATCCCCCTCTGGTGGGGACCAACCTATCAGCCTTTCCTCCCGTGCTGTGGACCTGCTCAATTCCGGTGTGGCCAAGTGTGCCATCCACACCTCCTTAGCCAGATCCTTGATGAACTTGACCCGATCAGGGCATCTTCTATTCTCTCCAAACACGTTCCCACATCTCCACTTCCACCCCCACCACACTCCCATTGCAAACTGTGTAGCCCACGGGACCCCATTCATGCTTGTTTCCTCTTTCAAATTCTGAAACAACCATACCAACAAGGATTGAGAGAAGAACTCACTCCTCTCTCGAGCCGGCACAATTCTCTGCCATATTCCCGCCATAGCCGGGCAGTCCCGTAGAACATGTAAAATCGTTTCGAATCCGCCACAACACACGCTGCACACATCTGAGTCACACAAGTGCCTCCTCTTTCTTTCGACATTCGTCATTATTGCTTGTTTACATACGAGCCATAAGAATACTCTCACCCGTTCCGGAGCCTTCACTCGCCACACACGCTTCCAGAACTGTTCCATATTCTGTCTCGGACTCTCATTCAACGTCAACAGGGAGTAAGCCGACTTGACTGTGAACTTACCCTCTGCACTACCTCCCCAAGAGAGACGATCCTTGGCCCCAGTGACGCAGTCCACGACGATAGACCATAACTCCAGGCCAGTATTTTCCGATACGTAAGGTAAGATTTGGTCAAAGCGCCAACCCCTTCCAGGTATCCACAAATCCTTCGCAACAAATCCCTCATAATTCGCCGGCAACGCACTTGTGGCCTTCTCTGACAATGAGACCCCCGAGAGCCATTTATCAGTCCAAAACCGGATCGTACTGCCGTCACCAACAACCCACCTCTGGCCTGGCAAGACAGCTTCCTTCAGCCCTGTCACTATACTTCTCCATACCACTGACCAGTTACTTCTCACTCTTAACCAAGACAGATCATGTGAATCGCCAACTCTGTACTTACACCGCACTACCCTTGCCCATAAGCTCTTCTCATCATTCATCAGTCTCCAGCCTACCTTAGCAATGAGTGATGTGTTCATGTGTAGGGAGTTACGGATACCGAGCCCTCCTTCTTCTTTCGGTACGCACACCCTCGACCAAGATATGAGATGTTGTTTCCGTTTGTCAGCCGTGCTACCCCATACGAAGGAGCGAGACACCTTATCCAGCGTCGCCAGCGTTGATCTCGGTAACAGTACAGAACTCACGGAATGAACCGGTATAGAAGACAGTACCGATTTTGTCAGTGTGATTCTCCCTGCTAAGCTCAAAACATGACTCTTCCACCCAGCGAGCCTCGCACTTACCCTTTCCACTACTGCTGAGAAGGTCTCCTTGTTCATCCTCTTTTGAAGCACATGCATCCCCAGATATTTGCCTAAGTCACACGTAGAGCTAATGCCACTTGCATCACTAATCTCTCTTCCCAACTCCCGAGAGACATTACTAGAGAAAAATATTTTGGATTTCTCCAAACTAACCTTCTGGCCAGACAATAAGCAGAATGTTTCGAGTACATTCCTGATCGTTCGGACTTGTGCCACTGATGCCTCCGCAAACAAAATGAGATCATCGGCAAAACAGACATGAGAGAGCTCAGGTCCTCCACGTGAGAGTTTAATAGGCTTCCAACACTTCTCCGCGATCGAATTCCCTATCAAGTGACACAGACGCTCCATACAGAGCACAAACAAATAAGGCGAGATTGGATCTCCCTGTCTCAGGCCCCTTGACGGACGAAAGGCCTCTGTTTTCTCACCATTGAAGAGGAGATTCATCGACGGTCCAGACACAACACGCATTATCCAACCAACCCATTGTTCAGACAGTCCTGCCGCAATCAACGTATCTTCGAGGAAGTCCCACCGGATTCTATCATAGGCTTTCTCAAGATCAAGTTTCAACAACATCCATCCCCTGCGTCCTTTCTTCCTCCTCATTGAGTGCACAGCTTCTTGCACCATCACTATGTTGTCAGTGTTCAGTCTCCCAGGGATGAAGCTTGCTTGTGCCGGCCCAATTAGTTTAGTGATTACTCGCTTCAACCTCACAACCATCACCTTCGTTATTGTCTTGAACAGAACATTACACAAGCTGATCGGACGGAACTGAGTGATTATCTTCGGCTTCGCCACCTTCTCTAGCAAGACTATCAGTACATCGTTTGTATTCGGAGGCAAAACTCCGGTCCTGAAGAACTCCAGAATGAACCTTACCACAGAATCACCTACAACGTCCCAACAATGCTGGTAAAACACCGGTTGGAACCCATCTGGTCCCGGGGCCTTGTATTTACCAATGTCCCGCACTGCCTTCTCCACTTCTGCGGCCGTGAAAGGTCTATCCAAGTGAATGTGATCTGCCTGCGACAATAGAGCAAAGCCTTCTCTTGGTAAAGGAGGGACCACTTCATCTACATCCACCATCGAATACAACCGCCTATAGTACTCCACAGCTAAATTCTCCAACTCAGGAGCGTTCGTGACCCACGACCCATCATCTTTCTTCAACATTTCAATGCGATTCCGTCTCCTCCGTATGATTGTCGATGTATGAAAGAAGCTTGTGTTGCGGTCTCCAAGCGGAATCCACTTCTCTCGGGATTTCTGAAACCAGATCACTTCTTCTTGTTCCAATGTCAAATCCAGTTCTTTTGACAGCGATACTTCCTCCATTAGAAGATCATCCGTTGGTGTTAGCAAAATCAAATCCTGCACTTTTTTGATTTCACTAACCAGCGTCTCCTTCCGTCTCTGCACTTCTCCGAACACTTCACGATTCCATCGCCTAAGTCTTGTCCTCAGAATCTCCAAGGCTTCTGGCGTACTCAAGCTTGTGTTCCAAGACGCCTCCAGCAAGTCTTTAAACGTGTCATGTTTAAGCCATGCCGCTTCGAATCTAAACGGACGTCGTGACGCATCACCTCTACTCACTGGCGCTAATTGAAGATACAATGGTGCATGATCAGATGCTAAAAAAGGAAGATGCGTTACCGTCGCTTCTTGCCATCTCAAGCGAGACTGGGCACAACAGAGGACCCTATATAAGCGCTTGGTCACGAAGAAACATTCTTCTCGTCCTCTTTTCCAGGTAAAGGCATGACCTCGGAAACCCATATCGATAAGGGATAAGTCATTTATCCATTGCCCAAACTCCATCGAATCCGCCGATAAGCTTCCATTTCCACCTGACCGTTCATCCAATCGAACAATCGTGTTGAAATCCTCGCCAACGATCACAGGACCCGTTACTCCTCCAATAATATCACGCAGCTGATCCCATAGACCACTTCTTCGACTCACCGTAGGCGCCGCGTACACCACGATCAGGTTCAATACCTCATCTCCATTCGCCATCATCGCCTGAATGAATTGGTTTGTTGAACTAATGACCGTCACGATTCCGATTCCTGACCTCCAGAGCAACCACAGACCCCCGCTCTGCCCCTCTGCGTCTACTCTGAACGAGTTATCAAACCCTAAACCACGACAGATACGCTCAGATCTGTCTCCACCCGCGTGAGTTTCGAATATAGCCAACAAATCCGTCGGATTCTTCTTCAAAATGTAGCGGATTGATCTACGAAAATTGGGTTTATTCGCCCCCCGGCAGTTCCATAGGATGCAATTCATCATCTTGTACTTGTAAATACGACAAACTACCGGGGCGACCCGTCAATGCTTCCCCAAATTCAACGTCGCCGATCCAAAACTCGCATAGAAGTCGGTGATTCTCCAACTGTGTCATCTCGTAGGCCCTGACCCATAGATTGGAGCATCCCACTTTCCTCAGGTTCCTGTCCTCCGAGCGCCGGTGAAACCAAGGCTCCATCGCCGGATTTCGCCACAGCGCCACCCAATCGACCAAACCCTTCTTTCTCGACTCTCAGCCGCTTCCCATTCGGCGACAGTTCCACATCCGCACCAATCGGACGAAAAACGAGCCCCCATGTGGGCTTTAACTGTGATCCTCTTCTGGGCCTAGGCCCAAAACCCTCTGGCTTATGTCCGAGCCCAGTCAACTTCTTGGTCCGCACATCCTTTTTTTGAATTTTACTCTTCTCTACTTGTAAACGGCTACCTTTTGCTTGCCCTCCACTCTTCCCGTGATCCACTTGCGTATTCGGATCCTGATTTTCCAAATCCCCTTCAACCATAATCTGCTCTCCCGTGATTTCCTCCAGTGATATATTTTTTCCCAAACTACCAAAACTATTAGATATGGCAATATTTTGCGAATCTACTTGCCGAGATTGACTCTGATTCTTATTGCCCAAACTGTTTCCCGCACTCCCTGCCGAGAACACAATTCCGGGCACCGACTTTTCACTCCGGCGACCCGACGCCCCCACCATCGTGAATCCATCCTCCAGTTGCGAGCTAATGGCTCCTCTCTCCCGTGTTTCATCTTGCGACCCCTCCCCCTGAGACTTCTCCGACCTCGGTGTTGGGTTTTCGACTGCCACTTTCTCCTTCCTCCCTTGTGGACATGAACTAACTATATGGCCATAGACACCACATCGGCCACATATGTTACTCAGTCCCTCATAAGACACAAAGTAACGTTCACCATTGATCACTACCGTTCCTTTGAGCGGCTTACGCAAATCCACTTCCACACATATACGAGCGAACCTAGCCCTCTCAAAGTTGAGGGTTGTTTGATCCACCTTGATCGGGACCCCCAAACCCTTGGCAATACCCATGAGAATCGTCCGATGGTAGTAGTTCACAGGTAGATTGGACAGACGGACCCAAACAGGCGTCGTTGTTATCTCATCTCTCGATGGGTCAAACGCCGGCGACCAAGCCTTCACCATGAGATAACTACCAAAATCTCTCCAGGGACCTCCCGTTAGCGCAGCCAAGTACTCCTCTTCGCTCTCGAAGTGGACCATGAAGAAGTTCCGAGGGAGATCCATCACATACATCGCTTCCGTCGGCTTCCACAACTCTCTCAACCGTTTTCTCAGCACCGCCATTGCTACCTTCCTTCCCAACACCTTGACAATCATATACCTCTTCCATAATCCATTCATTGCCTCTAATACCTCCTCTCCTATCGTTATCACCGGCTCACCTCCCTCGCCATCAAAGAACTCCAAATAACTCTCGCCCTCACAAACGCATCATCCAACACATCCTCCGGTCTCAACAATCCTCCTCCAGTACTCCCAGCCACCTTCGCCGCCCAAGAAATCCTTCCGTCAGGTGGGTCCCCCGGTGATATACCACCATTCACTATATAAAATAATTAGCTAATATAATAATTCAAGAGTTTCTGAAAGTTGTATTAAAACAAAAATTCAGCTATTTTTGTAGTGATCAACTTTACCAGACAAAGTGTGTTAATCTACGTCATATTAGAATTACATAATCTTTCAAGTAGTTTTTCTCATATTATTTTCTTATTATATATTACTATTTATGAAAATAAAATATGAATATTATTGTCGACAAACCATGGAGAATCCCATCATCGCACCAAGTGCTAAAACTCGGGATTCTATGGCCATTAATGAGAAAATAATCTATTAAACTTTACAAAAGTTACACTGGTCGCACGTTAGCCACCACCACATTTCTTCGAATTTGATCTATCCATTTCTTGCACCCTAATACATCCAATCTATAGATCAATGTTGAACTTTTAGACTTTGATAATCCATAGTACTGTACTACTGTATATGTATATGAATAATAGATGACTAATCACTTTACGAAACATAGTTGTTCGAGTTTAGTTGACTCTTTCGGTCACTTATTTATTTGTAGCATTTGTTTTGGTAACTGATTTGATAGTCCCCGGCTCAATTTATAGGATTCTGTAATTTTGAGAAAAACATAAAACAAGGAAAATTAGTAAATAATATTCAGAATCTTTGTTTTGGTGGGAGACAGAATTATAAAGTCTCCACAAACCAATTATATGTTTATATTAAAGAAATATATCCAAGTATATAGGCTTGAAAGCTTGATATTGATGAACATTTATAGTTTACAGATGATACTCAGGGTACAAGGACCCAAGTCCATTGATATTTTATTCAAGAGCAACTGAAACATATACATGTACAGAGTACATTCTCTATAATTTACTGTGTTTCAAACAATCACTATTCACTAATAAGTAACAACACTAAACGCAAGAACTAAAGAAATATAAAAAGCTAATATTTTCAAAATCTTAATTTCATCTTTATTTTTTTTACTTTACCTTTTCTTCAGTAACAAGCAGTCTCTCTCAGCTTTTCTTTTCGTTTTTACTTTTTCTCAAATAATTTTGTTATTATTATTGAGGAGAGATTCATCTTTAATTTACTTTATGCAGCCTTATTGAGTTATATTCAGGTTCTTTCTTGCTTACAATATTTTAACCAAATTTAAATTTTCATACTATCTTTCTTCTTTTTGACTTTTTGACCCATTATCCGTTGATAAAAACAGTGAAAACCTTGGTTAACGTTCTTTCGAAGTACCTAATAAAGTTGATTACAAAAAAAAAATGTTTAATACAAATAAGGACTCACTTCATGAAACCATAGTGAACTCTCATTACTCTCTCTTCATCTTATTTCTCCTTCTCAACCACTCTCTTCTCACCAGAGAAGATGAACATTATTGAAGCAACTTTCTTCCTCTGCCTCTTTTCATCTTCTCATGTAAGAATGCTACAATCTTTTCGATTTTATTTAACGTTTACATATAACATTTTAAGTTTTTTTTTTGTAGGTTTGTTGTCGTAAGAAAGATTCAACATTCTGTTTTTTAGCACTTTGGTGGAATCCGTTTAACATAACTATAATAACGGTTTGTGATTCTTATAGGTTTATTTCGCCGGAGCTAAACAAACCGCCGGCAACATCACGGCGTCGGAGAATCCATTCACACCGAGAGCCTCTTTGGTTCGCTATTGGAACAAACGCATAAACGGCGATGCACCACAATCTTCATTCTTCCTCTCAAAGGCGTCTCCTTTGACGGCGGTTGAATCCACGCGCTTCGCCTCACTCGCTTCCCGCCACGCGCTAGACACGCGTCCGTCTGATTTCTGCTCCACCGCGAAGCTCTTCTGCTTCCCTGAGCTCGCCTCTCATTCTCTCGAAAAGCACGGCGATGACGTCAACTTCGCCGTTTACAGCCGCAAAAACTTCACCAGCTACGGCGACGACCGTCTCTCCGGAGTCGACTCGTTCAAAAACTATTCCGGCGGGGACAACATCGCCGTCGACTCGTTCCGCCGTTACAGCCGAGACTCCGCCGGACACGACGATGAGTTTTCAAATTACGCCGGAGAAGTCAATGTCGCTGACCAGAGCTTCAACAATTACGCCACCGAATCCATCGGAGGCAATGGCGAATTCACGAATTACCACACAAATGCAAACCAACCCAACGGAAGATTCACTTCCTACTCCGACAAAGCCAACGGCCGATCACAGTCCTTCACGGCGTACTCCGAAAACGGAAACTCCGGAGCTCAGACGTTCACCAGCTACAGCAAAAACGGAAACGGAGCTTCGAACGGGTTCTCGGGTTACGGATCCGGGTCAAACGTAGTCAAATCGGGTTTCACCGGGTACGGAGAGACCGCGAACGGAGATAACGACACGTTCACGAGCTACGGCGGCAATGGGAACAATCCGGTTAATCAATTCAAAGGATACGGCGTCGGAGGAAACGGCGCCGTTTATGGGTTTAAGAACTACAGAGACCAATCCAACATCGGAGCAGACTCTTTCTCTTCCTACGCCAAAAACTCCAACAACGAGAAGGTCAATTTCGTAAATTACGGCAAATCGTTCAACTTGGGATCCGATAATTTCACGGGTTACGGCCAAGGCAACGTGAGCTTCAAAACCTACGGCCAAGGCCCGAGTTTCAAAGAGTACACTAAAGACGGCGTCGTTTTCGCGCGGTATTCTAATAACGCGAGCTCCAGTGGCAAACCTGTGAATAAATGGGTTGAGCAGGGTAAATTCTTCAGAGAATCGATGCTGAAGGAAGGGACTTTCATGCAAATGCCGGATATTGTGGATAAAATGCCTAAAAGGACGTTTTTGCCCCGAACTATAATTTCGAATTTACCGTTTTCGTCCTCCGAGACCGGCGAGATACGGAGGATCTTCGGCGCCGGAGAGAATTCTTCGATGGCGACAATAATCTCGTCGGCGATTTCAGAGTGCGAGAGACCGCCAAGCCACGGCGAGACGAAGCGGTGCGTTGGATCGGCGGAGGACATGATCGATTTCGCCACCTCTGTCCTCGGACGCGGCGTGGTGGTGAGGACGACGGAGAATGTCGTAGGGTCGAAGAAGAAGATCGTTATCGGGAAAGTCAAAGGAATCAACGGTGGAGATTTGACAAGAGCAGTTTCGTGTCACCAGAGTCTGTACCCGTATTTACTGTATTACTGCCATTCGGTACCTCGGGTACGGGTTTATGAAACGGATATACTTGACCCGGAGAATCTAGCGAAGATTAACCACGGTGTTGCCATCTGTCATATTGACACGTCAGCATGGAGTCCGAGTCATGGAGCGTTTACGGCTCTAGGGTCGGGTCCGGGTCGGATAGAAGTTTGCCACTGGATATTTGAGAATGATATGACGTGGACTACAGTTGAGTAGGTTATTATCATTTGGAGTTTGTACACTTTTTTCAATTATTTGAAACTTTGGACTTTTGGACACTTTTCAATTATTTGAGATTTCGGTTTTTTGTTTCTTTTCTTCTTTGTTCTTGAGAAATGGGTTGGTTTTTTATTTTATTTTTCCTTTTCCCAGATGTAACTTTCTCCTATTGTTTATTTATAAACTATATATTTGATCAATTTGGCTAAAAAAAGAAGTATTTATGTTTTGTGTGTGGCAACGAAGTTTAAGACATGAGAATTGCGTTTCAGGTTCTGCTATGCGAGCTTAATATTTTAGATATACAATAGCCAAAATATGTTATTTAAGTATTCATGTAAAATAGGTTATAACATTTAATTCATAATATGGGAAAATTATCCCACATCGCTAACAAACTTAATCACTACGCCAAAGACTAGGTCTATAAACAGTCCCCATATATATAAGCAAAAGGAAACACAACCTAAATAAATCGTTAACGAATTTGATTTAAAGATCCTATTTCTGTCTGTGATTAGGAATGAAGCGTTCGAAGGATCCGTTTGAAGACACAATCGAGGAGGAATCGCCGCCGGAATCACCTATCGGAGTCGGACGAACTGAAATGGAGCAGAGTCGTGAAGAAGAAGGTGTTTTCAAGAAACGTAAAACCTCCGTTGCTGTTGTTGCTGCTGAATCGAGCAACAAAGCTGAGAAAGTAGCCAAGATGCAGAGCATTCTATCGCAGTTCACAGAGGAGCAAACGAGCAGATACGAATCATTTAGGAGATCCGCGTTGAACAAAACAAACATGAAGAAGTTGTTAGAGAGACTCACAGGGAACAAGATGAAGCCTGACGACGACATCAACACGGTCGTGTGCGGTATCGCCAAGATGTTTGTTGGTGAGCTCGTGGAAACAGCTCGAGTTGAAATGGGGAAAAGAAAAGAAACAGGACCTATTAGACCTTGTCATATCAGAGAGTCTTATCGGAGACTTAAGCTCCAAGGCAAAGTGCCTCAAAGATCAGTTCCACGACTTTTCCGCTAAAAGAGAGTGACACAATTAATCACAAATAATGTTTCTTTTCTTGATCCATCAGTAGTTTCTTGTATATGTAATAGGTTTCCACCATCTGATTTTCACGTAACTATCAGAATTAACACAAATTAGTTACGTACCTTGTGAAGTAATCATTGTTTTTACCATAAAAAAATATAGTCATCGAGCAAGAGATTGTCCAAAAAACTTCAGAACACGAAAATTTTCACAAAAGCTGCAATCTTTAGCTCGTCATTTTCACAATCAACAAGTGCATCTCCAATTTCCATGTTAAATCCACAAAATTTGGAAATTTACCTGAGTAAAGAGATGATCTATCGAACCCAGAATCTCGAAGAGCCACAGAGAACTTATCCGGCGCAAACCCACGAACCCATTTCCCATCAGACCGATTGAGAGAGATCAAATGAAAAGACGCAAAAGAACCATAATTGCAAGAGCGAAGAAGACATTGATGATAGATCATATGGGGACAAAGCTTCGGCGCCGAGGAAATCCAGAGCGTTAGAGAATCAGGAGGTACAATCTACCGGAAATTTCTCATGTTCACGGCAATTCAGATTCTGGATTCAGAGAAGAAACCTCTGTTTCAACATAAAGATAAGGAAAACGGTGTCGTATTTGGCATTAGTTCGTTAGAACTTAGTAGTAAACGTCGACGTATTGGGTGTGTAAAGACTAAAGAGTGAAGTTGTCTACTTTTGTCCCACATCGGTAACATGGAGATAATTTGTGTTGTTTATATACGAGAGAGAGAGCAACAAAGGACACGACCTTACTTGAACAGGATCTGTTCTATAGGCTCGTACCTCAGTATCCTTGATTTCTAAGGAGACTGGCCCCTAAACCTGGTTGATGAACCATGACCGTGCGATCAGAGCGTGATTAACGGCCGCGATCATCTTCGGATGCGTCCGGTGCTGTAGATGATCGTTACTCGGCTCGGCCTAGTCCTTGCCGGGGTGGTCGCATGGCGGTCTGACAGGCTATCTTTTTCTGTTTATTATGACTTTTGGGTTCTTAATTTTATGTTTCTTCTATTTCCACCCCCTAATTTTCCATCCAATGCAGAAAACACCTTGTTTTGTAATCACCATTTTGATTCAAACTTCCACTTCTTCCCTATTGCGTTATGTTGTCTATGTTTCAGAGCGTGATTAACGGCCGCGATCATCTTCGGATGCGTCCGGTGCTGTAGAGGATCGTTACTCGGCTCGGCCTAGTCCTTGCCGGGGTGGTCGCACGGCGGTCTGACAGGCTATCTTTTTTTGTTTATGACTTTTGGGTTCTTAATTTTATGTTTCTTCTATTTCCACCCCCTAATTTTCCATCCAATGCAGAAAACACCTTGTTTTGTAATCACCATTTTGATTCAAACTTCCACTTCTTCTTCCCTATTGCGTTATGTTGTCTATGTTTTAGATCCTTTTAGCTTTTCTTCCTCGTGTACAAAGGACGACCTTTAGTTTGAGTCTTTGAGAGTTGAGACTCTCTTGATGAAGATATGGTTAAAGTATGTCAAATTTTACTGAAAATTTGAAGATTAGGTTAGTGTATTTGTGTTCTTGCAAAAACATTGAGCTCTTAGCTCTAAAACTGAAGAGGATTATGAGACTCAGTTTTCTAGCTTAGAGTATAAGAACCTGTTTGGTTTGGACATTGAGAAGTCCAAAGAGTTTCTTGCTTATCAATAAAATTTCTTGTTGAAAGAAAAAAGATTATAGCTTTGATTGACTATAAAGTTGCATTTTTTTTTATGGCAAAGACGCTATAAAAGTTTATTTTGGCACTGCGAAATCTTAACAGACTTTGGTACAGTCTTGATCCTTCATCAGCATCGCATCATACTTGTTAGATTAATTTATGTTCCATATGTTTTCTTATTTTATCTTCATCTCCAACATTCAACACTACTTTATGGAGACGTAACAGAGTCAGAGATCATCCGTCGTTAGCAAACTCTAAAGCTCGCTCGTCGATCCTAAATACATATGTAAATTATGTAATAGAATGATATATGAGGGTGTGATGGTTAAAGTATTTTTACGTGGCTTCTGTTCGCTCTAAACCTTATTTGTTCTTAGGCTATAAACATTAGGAGTTAAAGCAACGAGAGGATAGTAAAAGCAAAGAGAAAGCTGTGCCTACTATCTTAGAGAATGAGACATGTAACATTCTTCCTTTCCAGAAACATGGATACAAGGGATTGAATAGGAGGAGGAAGCCACAATACATCGTTCTTACTTTGATGTAAGCTGCTCTGAGCATGTGCTGCTTGAAGTTACATGTTTGCTAAATGGAGATTTATGTTTGTCTATATGATTGCAATATGTAGTAGTATGTAGGCACGTTCACAAGTGTATGTGTTGGGTTTTGGTTTCATAATTTTCTTTCTAGCAAATTTTAAAGACCAAACAACAAAGAAGGCAGAATTCAAATCTTCTTATTCCAAAGTTTTTTGTTATTTAACTGATAGTAAAAGAGGAAAACGTTTACCATGAAGCACCAGTGGTCTAGTGGTAGAATAGTACCCTGCCACGGTACAGACCCGGGTTCGATTCCCGGCTGGTGCACTGAGCTGTGATGAATTTCGGGCTTAGCGAAGCTTGGTCCTTCGCACTTCTCTGATTACTCAGATGATAACTGGCCTTGTAACTGAGCTCTCTTTTTTTTTTTTTTTCTTATGAATATGTGATTTCGAATTTTAGACATAACTGACTTTTATGAGAAACTCTTTGGCCTTCTCAATGTCCAAACCAAACAGGTTTTTATTCTCAATGTCCAAACCAAACTCTTGGATTCAATCACTTAGAAAACATATCTACAGAAACAAACATTTTGTTCTTCTGAAATTTCGAATTTTATAAATAATTTATTTTTCAGTAAGCATAATATTATCCTTGGATTTATTCAGTTAGAAAAACGAACCCATTAGTGGAAGATTCCTACAAGCTCAACTTCGATTGCTCATCAGAGAAACCAAAACACATTCAACAAGCTTAGTGTTCATCAACAGATATTTTGACTCTCTTTTCTGTTATGCTTAGTGTTCTGTTTCCTTTCCATTGGGGTACTTTTAAGTTTTCTTTTAGGTTTACAATTATATAACTGAAAAAACATATTGCATATCTCTAGCTGTTTTTTTTTGTTTTAGAAAAGGGATTTTAGTAACATTCCTGCATTCTATATTTATTTCATCAAAAAAAGAACGTACAATGTTACTAGATGAAAATGACAACACATTCCTCTTTTCAAACTTTCCTTGAAGAACTGGAATTAGTTAGGTTTGGCAAGTCACAGGGAGAAACCATCGAGCGTCCTTGAGATTCAAGTTGGAAAGACCAGGGAAATGTTTGATGGTCTTGGACGCAAAATCGAATACAGAGATGTCTAGGTTATAGGACTTCCGGAGACGGGCACGGTCGTGACGTGTGAAATAGATAGAATTTGGTTTGATGACACCAAGACTATCATGGTTAGCAGGAACAGTGATACCCAAGTCAAGAAGCAAGGCCTCATCACCAAGAGAATGTACCTCAACAAGGCGGTGAGGGTCAGAGAGTGGGACTACATTAGGATCCTTCTTGTAGACATAGAAACTCACATGGCTTCCAGTGGTGATGCTCTCTACCAACAAAACCTCTCCTGCTCTTGTCACCGCAATGCTGGTATTAGAAAAATATGGAGTACGAGGAGAACGCATATGGTATGGAACACTCTCACTAACATCCACAAAACCTTTCTGTCCAGACAAATCTAGGACTCGAACGTAACAACGGTACGAGAAGATGTAGAGACAGTAATCCCTGAGTACCACATCAGTTAATCCAATGAGCAGCTTGGGAACTCCCGAACGCAGTGGAATGTCAGTGTAGTAATCATCTCCTTTCTTGCAAAAGCTTAAATAAGCGGCAGGGGTGTCGAAGAAGTAGACTACAATGTAATCTTCCTTCTTCTCGTCAACCCACAAAAGACCTCTAAGAACATCCGCTCTCAGAGTTAGAGAGGAGACACCATCAATATGTTTCCTTTTAAATTCTTTATCTCCAACACGTTCGATGGTGTAAGTAGTTGATAAGAGATTCTCTAGAGGCGGAAGATCAATCCTTTTGTCGCTAAAAACGTCTACGATATATAGATTGGTTTGAGAGTCAAGCAAGAGAAACCACTTACCCGAGTTTGCAAAGAAACAAGTCCCTGAATAATCTCTCAAGGATTTGTAAACCTTGTCTTCGTCTGGATTGTACAGCACGGAACCTCCGTTGTCTGTGGAAAGTATGAGCCAGGGAGATCCGGTTTTGCATGGGACTGTTTCTTTCGAACCAGACAACCAGTTCGAACAAACCGTCTTAGCGCGTTGGAGATCAATAAAGCTCAAACGTTCGAGCAGAGATCTGATGATATCGAGAGGGAGCATGGACAAGTTGGAAGTCTCCATGGTGGATAGGTTTTTGAACTAGGGTTTGGTTTCTTGACAGAGAAGACTTATTAAATTAGGTTATAATATCAAAAAATTCGTTGTTCATGTAAAAAAAATAACTTAATCACAACGCCAAAAATATGGGCTACTTATCCCACATCGTTAATTAAAGAGTGTGACAATTCATATTCAAATAATGTTTCATTTCTTGATAGATTAACTACAACCGGTTCATTCACAAGAACGGTTTCTAAATGGTCAAGAAGTTCCTTGGCTTAACAAGAAACCAACTGCGGTACATTAAAACCAAAGCAGACAGAATTTAACACCTTATATTCTTATATTTAAAAAATAGTCTCTTAATCCGAAACTACATCTTAAACTTTAATAAAAAGATGTAAATGTTTAGTTTACTATCAATTGAGAGCAACTTTAACATTCACTCTTCATTTTTCCTATTCTTGTTAAGATCACATATGATTGTCTGACAATAAAGAAGATACTCATGAAATATAATTGTTCTACATTTTCTTCGCTGACTTCTACCTAAATCTTGTTAAAAATTACTTAAGACACCCATAATATGACCGATGGAGGTGTTCTAATTGCTAAAACGGACTTTATTACATGACAGATGATGAAGAAAATAAATTAAACATCAAATGTTATGATACACATACCATCCTTCGGATAGCTCAACATCCAAATTATGAGAGATTCTTGTCAGTTCGTTTTCGTAACAAGATACCTTTCATAACTCTTTTAAAGCAATTAAAAGAGCATAAAAAATCTCCACCAGATGTTTCTATCTTTATTTTGTAAGGACAACGTTTTTGGCAATATCTGCATATAGGCCGAGTGGAATAAGTGTTGGGAAGCAAATTGAGCGTTTCCCCGTAGCATGTAACACTTTCTCCAGATTTCATATACGGATCTTTTCCCAATAAACAGCTGATGTGGAGGGTGACTCCACAATCTTTGCATTCATAAAAACCATTCTTTGTAATTATATATTCCTCGCATATTTCACACAAGAAAATGCCATCATTGATATTTGCATCCTCATCATCGTGCCACTCGCAAGAAAACTTGAGCAAATGCTCATCATGCCCGTACCTCGCATTTGCTGGAAGAGTTGCACAGCGGAAGCACAAAACAAAATTGCATTTCATACAATTTAAAGGTTGTTGGTCAAATGATTGACAAATGGAACACCTCATCCTTCTCTTCGAGTTGCAAGTTATGAACAAGGGATGCTGATGGGAGTTATGTTTGAATGGCTCACGAATAGAAGCACAAAGTGTATCTAACGTATAATAACACTCCGCGACAGGACACATATATGCGAAACCCCATGAGGAATGATCACATCTCCAACAATAGAACCAACTTGTGGTAGACCCGAGTTCTAGAACCAATGGATGGAGATGTAGCATAAATTCTTTCACCCGGGGAAGATATGCACATGATTCATGTAAAACGAAATCACAATATTGCATACAATGATACACATTATCATCATCATAGAACGGAAGTCTGCACGCTTGGCAATGCTTGTTTTCATCACGGAAGTTTTGTTCAAGTCTAAGTTGATGACACATATGACTCTCATGTTGTATAATCCCATCACCCATCTCCTCGAACATTTTAGTATTCTCATAAGATTCTTCAGGCTCTCCTTCAAGTTCTTTTCCGTCACACACATCACTTTGCATGGCACATCTAGAATGCACTGCATAAACGCATCCTTTCGTGCAAGAGTATTCTCCGTATTTTTTTTCTACTTTTGCATGACAAACTCCACAATCAGTCGACTCCTTGTAAAGAAGATTAGGAGTAAACGCGAGACGATGATTGTGACGGGACACCTTTATGACATATGGTAAGTCAACACAAAGTTTATGAACAATGAAATCACATAAGAGACATACGTATAAGTAATCGGAATCTTCCACCAAGGCACAAACATCGCAAACCAAAGCTGATGATTTTCTGGGAAAGTAATGGAGGGTATGTTCATGCCTTTTCCGATTCTCTATAACAAGTGGTGTTGAGTTTATTGCACAAATAGGATGGAAAAACAAATCGCAAATACAGCAATAGTATGATAAGTGGGAAATGACCCCTATACAAGCAAAACAATGCACTCTAGGGTTTTCGAACCAGATAAGTTGAAGAATATGTTTTGGATGAACAGAGGAATGAACAACGGAAGGAGACTCAACGCATTCTTTGTGATACCCATCTTTGCAATAGCTGCAAAAATAATAGGTTTTACCTTCACTCATGGTGTCGTCACAAGCCATACACCAAGATATACCTTCTCCTTTGTTTCGACAAACAAGGTAGTGGAGATGATTGGATTTTTCTTCTTCAGCATCAGAAATGAAATAGGAACTTTTGATATTGTGATAATAACATATTTCCCGATGAATCTTTATCTCTTTTCGATCTTTCTCTTTTTCAAATCGTTCTTGTGGACATAAGAAACTACAAGAAGGAGAGTGGTTAAGAGGATCCATGGGTTGATATCTATTTATTTTGGTGCAAAGGATTAATGTTTTCGTTATGGCGATAATTGGCTACATTATAGATATATATATATATATATATATATATATATATATATATATATATAATATACTAGGGAATGTTTACAAAGACAACGCATCACACCAATGCCAAGTATTATGCTGCATTGCTGCAATTAATGTTCATTTCAAACTTTCTCATGAAAAAGCAAGAATGCGATACCTTTATTAGTGTTTTGTTTAAAGAATACGATTCCTTTATAAGATTTTTTTCATCGAGCCAGAACTTTCCCAAGATTTCACAAAAGCTGCAAATGTTAACTCATCATTTTCACAATCAACAAGTGCTTCGCCAAAACGCTGATGTATTTTGGCATGTGAAGATGTTTTCGTTTTGTCCCACATCGGTAAGTTTGAGATATATTGTGTTGTTTAAAATGGAGTGAGAGAGCAACGTAGGACACGACCTTACTTGAACAGGATCTGTTCTATAGGCTCGTACCTCAGTATCCTTGATTTCTAAGGAGACTGCCCCCAAACCTGGTTGATGAACCATGACCGTGCGATCGGAGCGTGATTAACGGCCACGATCATCTTCGGATGTGTCCGGTGCTGTAGAGGATCGTTACTCGGCTCGGTCTTGTCCTTGCCGGGGTGGTTGCACGGCGGTCTGACAGGCTTAATTTTTCACTTTTTACTTCTCAAGTTTTGGTTTCTTTTAATTTCACCTCAAACTTTTTCTGTTAATGACAAAAACCCCTGTTTCTTTCTTTCTATACGCCTTTCCAATTCCTCATCATCATATTCTTCTTGCCTTTTGCTTTGTCTTTTTCATATTTTTCTTCACCAACCATGAATGCAGATCAAACAACTCTCATAATGTGTCCATTGAGCTTCAACTCTAATTTAAAGAGGATTAATGAACTGTTTGGTTTGGACCTTGAGAAACTCAAAATGTGTCTTTGTTAAAGAGCGTTCTCAATAATCAGTAAAGTTTTGAGGAATATGGGATTTATGTTTTACTAAATGGGTGTTGATTTATGTTTGTGTAGAATATGACTGCAATGTTGTTCATTGTAGTAGTTGTCTAAGGCACAATCAAATGTTTGTGTTCGTAATTGTTTCTTTTGGTTTCATAACTGTCCATCTACCAAATGAAAATACAAAAAAAAATGCATCAAGAAATCTAAAAGCAGACATAACACAACTTATTAATCTAAAAGTTTGATTTAATTAATTAAAAGTATTTAACCCATACAAAAAGCACCAGTGGTCTAGTGGTAGAATAGTACCCTGCCACGGTACAGACCCGGGTTCGATTCCCGGCTGGTGCACTGAGCTATGATGACTTTCGGCTTTAGCGATGGTTGGTCCTTCGCATCTTTCTGATTCTTCAGATGATAACTGGCCTTGTAACTGAGCTCTCTTTTCTTTTCGTTTTGAGGACAAGGACAAAGAACCTTGTTTGGTTTTGGAGTCATTAGGTAGTTCTGGATTGGGTTAAATCTTCTGCGTTCTTTTTTTTTTTTTTTTGTGGTTGAAAATGTACTGAACATTGTCATAATCATAATGTTTGTGTGCATCCCATAATCAGGCTTCATAAGCTACTTAGCTACATACAATATAGCAATGTATCCCATAATCAGGAGGGAGAAAAAAAACAGGCTTCATAAACCAGCACACAACTCCTGCCTAGTATTATCGTTAAAGGCATCGACGAGAAGGTACGAAACATTAGAATGATATTTACATTTTAAAATTATAGACCAAAGGGATGTCTTCCTACGCAAGCAACATAAACCTAGCAGTAGAAAGAGATGGTACTAGCACGTTTGTTGTAGATATCGGTAGGAAGATAACACACTAAAATAATACGTTGAGTAGGTAAACGACGACGTAATAGACATCAGACATGTAAAGTTGTTTATTTTGTCCCACATTGGTAACGTAGAGATAAGTTATGTTATTTATATAAGACCGAGAGAGCAATGAGGTCACGACCTTACTTGAACAGGATCTTTCCTATAGGCTCGTACCTCAGTATCATTGATTTCTAAGGAAACTGGCCCCTAAACCTGGTTGATGAACCATTACCATGCGATCGAAGTGTGATTAACGGCCAGGATGATCTTCAGATGCGTCCGGTGCTGTAGAGGATCGTTACTCGGCTCGGCCTAGTCCTTGCCGGGGTGGTTGCACGGCGGTCTAACAGGCTAACTTTTTTGTTATATCTTCTATTCCCTTTTGTTTTGTGTCTCTGGAATTACTGAAACCTTCGCGGACTGGTTTGGTGTCTATGTGTTCTTGCAAAACGCTGAGCTATAGCTCTAAATTTAAGAGGATTATGAGACTCAGTTTTCTAGAAGGAGCTGTTTGGTTTGGTAATTGAGAAGGTAAAAAAGTGTCTTGATGTGGCTGATGTTCGCTCCAAACCTTATATATTGATCTTAGGCTATAGGAGTTGAAGCTACTAGAGGATAGAAAAAGAAAAGAGAAAGTTGTGCCAATGTCTTAGAGTATGAGACAAGTAACATTCTTCTTTTCCAGAAACTTCAAGCGCTTAACTTGCGTGAATTGCTTGAGCTGAAGAGCATCATACAGAGAGGAAGAATGTGTATACAAGTGACTGTAATAGGAGGAAGAAGCCACAAGACACCATATATTACGTTCATGTAATTTGCTGCTATAAGGAGTCCCATGACACAAATTAATTTACATGTTTTACTAATTGGAGATTTATGTTTGTCTAGAATATGACTGCAATAGTATCAATATAGGGACAGTCAAAAGTCTGTTTTGTTAAGTAAAGTAACATCAGATTATATACAAAATGCGTAGATGAAACCTAAAGCAGACAAATAATTCAACGGTCCAAAATTATGAGTTATTGATTTAATATTATTAAGTTAAAGAATAACAAGTAGCACCAGTGGTCTAGTGGTAGAATAGTACCCTGCCACGGTACAGACCCGGGTTCGATTCCCGGCTGGTGCACTGAGCTGTGATGAATTTCGGCCTTAGCGAAGCTTGGTCCTTCGCACCTCTCTGATTCTTCAGAGCTCTCCTTTTTGTTTTTATTTTATCTTTTCTAAATGGACCCCAACAGAATTAAAAAGGAAGTTTTTGTTTATTTGGCCAGTTTCCTTAATAATAAATGTTTATTTCGAATTTTACAAATTCTGGTTAAAGACAATCTTTGCAACCAATCAGTTAGCAAAAACATCTTCAAAAAATTTATATATAAACAGAAACAAACACTCTTTCCACACACACACAAAAAAAAAAACGTTTTTGGCTTCCTTCTCTCCTTCTTGCGTTTTGTTACTTTTGACAATCTTATGGATTACTTTCTAGGAACTGCGGCAATATTATGTCAATCATGTCAACGTAGAACAGCCTCGATCCATTGTCTTACCGAAAACGCAATCTTCTGCCTCTCATGTGACTACTTTTTGCATTCTCATGCAAACATAGAAGGCCACGTACGTAACCAACTGTGCGATGATTGCATGAACAACTCAGCTACAATCAGCTGCTCTATCCACCGGACCATTCTTTGTCAACCTTGTTACTCACTCCGTTACAATTGCGCCACCTACGGCCATCAAATTCAAATCTTGCAGCAGCATGTGCATGCTCCTCAAGAACAGCAGCAAGTGAATGTTCCTCAACAACAGCATAACTATGGTGGTGATCAGAGAAGAGAAGGGATGTTTGAGTTCAGCTGCAACGGGGATAACAGTTGCGAGAGATGGATGCTTGCAATGAACTGTGAAGCATGCTTAGCTTCAAACGCTGTCGTTTACTGTGCGGAACACGACCAGGTTCTGTGCAGCAATTGCGACCTAATGATTCATTACAGTGATGACGTCGTGCCTCCGCATATGAGGAGTGTTCTTTGCGTGACCTGCAAGAGAGTCTCTCGGAGTTTTCGCATTGGAGGCCATCTTTTCAATTTACCACCACCAATTCCTCCGGCGGCGCCAGATGAGGTCTCGGCGTCGGTGACCACAGGGCCGTATTTACCTTAATTTTTTATTTTATTTATGTTTTTGTGACCTTCCTTTTTAGGGTTTCTTGAACTTTCTGATTTTGGATTTCATACAAAAAATTTTAAAAAATAAACTATCTTTTGGATTGAAAATGTTGAAAAAAATGTCACAACTAACTCCAACTTGTTCGGGAATGGAAAACATACATATCTTATACATAATTACCAAAAATATATCTGAAAAAAAAGAACATCAAAATTGAGAATACCAAAACGATTGATATGATATTTTAGGTTTTTGTTTTCAGGAATTGAATTTCCCTTTACCGATTTGGTGATATGATGGTTATTCGATATATAAGTTAAGAAATTTCTATTTTTAATAAGTCAATCGAAGATGAAGTATATAACTAGTGTAAGGGCAAATCGGTGAATACAAGAATATGTTATAACGGTACCAACGAACTAAAGAGTCGTTTATATTAATAACTTCTCTTCCAAGAAACACTATCTTCTCCATAATTTACATCTTCCTTCTCGTTTGTTTCTTGTTTCTCTCGCTTCATCATCACTTCTTCTGCAAATATTTCTTCTTCTACGAGATCTCAGTTTCGTTCGCATATCTGAGGAAGAGAAGAATCAATGACGATGATTTATCCACCGGTGGATGAAACCGTCGCATGTTATCTGAAGATGATGATCGATAACAACGGAACCGATTGGCCTAGCCACTTCCTCCGAAGCGAAGACGTCTACTGCGTGAATCCACTGACGCATTTCAAGACTCGAGAGCCTTTGATCTTACACGACGGACGGTCCTTGTTCGTTAACCGGACGGACGGTTCTGGTAAAACCGATGGATGTGAATTTGGTTGCTGGAGAGTCATGGGTCGTGATAAGCTAATCAAGTCGGAGAAGAACAAGAAGATTCTAGGGTTCAAGAAGGTTTTCAAGTTCTGCGAGAAGGAGGAACCAAGATCGGTTTTTGGGTTTTGGGAAAAGGAGAAGAGACGAGTGAGAGATAAGAGGGTTTGGGTGATGGAAGAGTATAGGCTTGCGAGTAAGTGGAAACAAGATTACGTGATCTGCAAGATTCGGTTTCTCAATCCAAATCCATTGGAGTTCTTGTTAGCCAACCATATCCGAGGTTACTATATATGATCGTGGATTCAAGATTCGATGTTATGTGTTTCTTGAATTTATTTAAAGAACACGCATATTCAAGATTCTATTTTGTTTCCGAAATTGTAACTTTCAAGGTTCATGATTCTCTATTCAATAAAACGTTAGATGTTTATGGTGTTTGATCGGTGCATATGATCATGAAACTAGATGATTGTATAACAAAAGTCAAAAGGATACATAAATTTACTCAAATTTTTTTTCTTTTCTTCTTCTCATTATCATTCATGTAAATTTAATTTTACTGATGATATCAGTTGGATTTAAACATCATCTACAATATTTTATTTAAAACGACTAAAGTATACACTAAATTTTCAAATTCTAAAGTCAAGCACTTATAATGAGACAACTAATATAGAAAATGGTTCATGCATGAGAGAATATATTAAAGAATGAAGGCAGTAAAAAAAAAAAAAAAAAAAAAAAAACAAAGATTAGAGAATAAAGATAAAATTCCATGATTCAACAATTGTAGTTTGAATTTTTTTATGTTAATTGAAATGATTTTCAAAAACTCTCTATAAATTAAAAAAGATTTCAAATAGTGTTCGAATACAAACCTAAACCGAAATTAGAAAAAAATCGGTCAGAAACATTAAATACTTAAATCCAAAAATAAAATAAATCCAATCACAGATAGGCGCATATAGGCATATAGCCGTCGTGACAGCCGCCGGATTCTAAAACTTCTGACGACGATGAGGCGTCTCGGAATCATCACTCTCACGAATTCCGCCGTCGTCACACCGTCGCTACTTTCTTCGACGGCGGCTTTCACCAGAACCCTAACCTTACCCTCGCTCCTCCGCAACCACCACCTTACTAATTCAATTCGTTTCCTCGAATCCAAAAGCCTCGTCTCATGCTTCTCTTCCTCGGCAGCTTATCTTCCTTCCCTCGACGAGTTCTCATCAACTACAGGTGATTGATTACGTTTAATTTAACGATTGTTTCGATTCCGAATTTGATGTTACATCAATGTCTAATTATCACCGATTCTCTAAGGTTCTGTGGCGAGAGATGATAAACAGAAAGTGGTCTTGAAGGGTATGAGTTATGCTTCTCTCCAAGTACGTTTTTTTTTTTCCAAAGTCTCAATCTTTTGTTCATCTAATTGGTATTCAATTGGATTACACATTGTTGAGCTTGATGATGATCCTTAATTGGAATTTTGCTACTAGTAGGAATGGGTTGAATCACATGGATTTCGTCCCGGGCAAGCTATGATGCTGTGGAAGAGACTATACAAAGACGACATATGGGCAAATGATGTTGATGAACTTGAAGGTTTTTTTGTCTCTTTTGCTTTCAGATGATTTTGTGTCTCAGCAGCAATGCTTATTGATATTCCATTCTTAATAGGTTTGAACAAAGATTTCAAGAGAATGATTAGTGAACATGCTGAGTTTGGAGCATTGTCTTTTAAAGATGTCCGTTCTGCTTCAGATGGAACTAGGAAGGTGAACAAGATCTTGTTCATATTTCATATCTTTGTGAGGCCGGTTATAGTGGGGAATCTTCTCACTGATTGATAACTCGCAGGATGTTTGCAGATTCTGTTCACGTTGAGTGATGGACTTGTGATAGAGACGGTTGTTATACCTTGTGACCGTGGCAGGACGACGGTTTGTGTTTCCAGCCAAGTTGGTTGCGCTATGAATTGCCAGTTCTGCTACACTGGCAGGTAAAGTAGATAGATTCTCTTGAGCCATGGAAGATAAAATCGAGCTTCTAATGTAGTTTATCTGCTTTTTCACAGGATGGGTTTGAAGAGAAACCTCACTGCTGCTGAGATCGTTGAGCAAGCTGTTTACGCCAGGAGGTTGCTTTCTCGTGAGTTTGGATCAATAACAAATGTCGTCTTCATGGTATGCAATGCATTAAACCTATCTGTGTCACTTTTTATCAGTTTCTTTAGTTCTCTCATCATGGAGCTGTTGGATGTGTGTGTTTTGTTAGGGTATGGGAGAGCCGTTTCACAACATTGACAATGTGATAAAAGCTGCGAACATAATGGTGGATGAGAATGGACTTCACTTTAGTCCACGCAAGGTCACAGTCTCGACCAGTGGCCTTGTTCCTCAGCTGAAGCGGTTTCTCCGTGAGTCGAATTGCGCTTTGGCGGTTAGTCTCAATGCAACAACCGATGAGGTTAGAAACTGGATCATGCCCATCAACAGGAAATACAAGTTGTCTTTGCTTCTTGAGACGCTAAGAGAAGAGCTCAGTACAAGGCACAAGTACAAAGTGTTGTTTGAGTACGTGATGCTTGCAGGAGTTAATGACAGGTAAGTTAACAAAAGCAATCACTAAGGGAGAGACCATTGTTAAAGCTCTCCATTAAGATTACGTATGCTCTCTTTAATTTGTGCAGCATGGATGATGCAAGGAGGCTAGTGGAGATAGTGAAGGGAATACCATGCAAGATCAACCTTATTCAATTCAACCCACACAGTGGCTCTAGTTTCGTACAGACGGATGAAGAGACGATGATCAAGTTCCGTAACGTTGTGGCTGAAGGAGGCTGCACCGTTTTGATGCGGTTTAGCCGAGGCAACGATCAGATGGCGGCTTGTGGGCAGCTTGGCATGCTTGGTGCGGTTCAAGCACCGGTCATGCGTGTGCCTGAGCAGTTCCGCACTGCTCTAAAGGCATCAGTTTGATTGATCTCTCAAATGTTGTACTGTACCATTGATTTGATTCAATTGTGAAAACTAATATCAAAAGAAGTTTTTTTTTGTGACATTCTCAACCAAAAATAGTTACTACAATTAGAGTGGATTACAACATCCCTAATGTTAATCCAACTTTGGCACATATATCACCTTTTACTCAACGTTTGTACAAGAAGAAACTCTAAAACTCCGTTAGAGTGGTGAACAATGTCTTCTCTTCTGCTCTATACAGGTTTGGTCCTTCTGGTCATTGTTGCGATTTGTCTTCACTGCCACGGAAAAGATCAATGAGTGTGTTTCTGATCTTGATTCTCAGGGCAGATGCTTCAGCTGGTCGAAACCACTTCTTGTCGAACTGTATGAATTAAGAAGACACATACAAGAGTTTATACAAAGAGTCAAGAAAGTATGTAATTTGGTATAAAGAAGAGAGTTTGAGAGAGATAACTTACCATTCCCAAGTCTTTCCTTTTCAGCCTTTGAGGTGCTTCTTCGATGAAGCGTTTGATGAAGAAGAGAACAAACGGACCACAGTCGAACTCGTTCTTCTGCTGCGGAACCTGTTTGCACAAAGAGAATAACATAAGAGGGATTCATCTTGTGATGATGTTTCAGAGTAAGCATCATGGGACTAAGAAGGTTTAAAAGACTGACCTGTATATCAGAACCGCTAATCCTACGGGGGAGGCTTTTCCATACTTTCTCTGAGATTGGAAGATCTGAGGAGTAATCATCATCTTGATTCAGATAGTTCCATTCGTCTTTCAGAAACCTGTAACAACAAGTGGACAGAAATCTTGTGAAGTTGGTATTGTATTGAAACCATATGCATAAAAACGCCAAAGATAAGACCATACACCTACCTTTTAACATTATCAACAATTGATTTTTTCGAATGAAGTCCTAATGAATCGAGGTGAAGAATGTTTAAGTTTGATTCATCTTCCTTGTCTGGGATGCAAACTATCACCAGGCTCCAGTGGAGACTGAAACAAGGTACAAGAATCACAATGAATACATAAAAATTCTTTAGAAAACTTACGAAACCATTGACAATAAAAGCTGTAACTAGAGAGGTAAAAGGAAGAATATAACTTACTCTTCATGAATTGGGATAAATATATAAGCCTTACGGAAGAGATCAATACCCTTCCACCAACGCCTGAACTTCACAAAAAAGGCATCCTTGTCATTTCCCTAGTTTGAATGCAAGGAAAAGACACAGATAGACCATTTTCGACATAAGTAACAAGGATAAGAATGTGGATCACAAGAAAATAAGCTGCGAAATGGCAATAGAGAAATGTATTCTAAGGATCACATTGTTATAGTTGCAGCTGAGATATTTAGCTTCAGCCTTTATATGCAAATAAGACTTTAGAATATGAAAGAAACATCTAAAGAACTTAGAAATTTGCGTAACATAATGCTGCGAAAATCATTGATGCAGATTCTTAAGATAATCAGGATAGAGATAACCACCTTGTACGAAACAGCGTCACTGAGCTTCTTGTAGAAATAAGTGTTGAAGAAATGACAATCAACAGAGATTTGATTGTCTGAAGATACCTGATGCTGCAAGAACCTAGCCAAAGAAAAAACAGGACTTTTAATCACATAAAATCATGCAATGCATTCACCAAATCATACAGAAAAATCTCAAACTCCCAACAGTGCTAGTATACTATAGAAGATAACATATAAGGCAACGTAAGAAAACTACCTTATGTAGAAGTTCATCACAGGCGATGTAAGAAATTCTGTAGGCGCAAGGCACTCAAGATCTTTGAGACAAACTTGAACAAAGTGTGGATCATCCCTGGACCACCAAATGAAGTAGAGAGAAAACGTTGATATTTTGAGAGTTACAATAAGTTAGACACTAGACCAATCTTGAGATAGAGTTACCTTGTTGGGTAGCATATATCTTCCTGTAAGCTGCAGGATTCATCAAATATTAGTGTATATACAGTTGGAATTGTAAGTCAATGAGTGTAAACAGAAAACAGCTCATTTTTTACCCTTCAGGCAGCTCAACCGCTTCCTCCGCCACTGTTGAAGGCTGAGATTCTTCTTCATCCACATTGATCACTGTATTGTCTGATTTCTACAGTTTTTGGGAGAATCAGTTAGAACCAAAAATACCTTATGGCGCTTTGATCTCCGTGATTATGTACAAATATGTAACTATATGTAACACAAATGCTACTTCTCATGGCTATAATGATTATGTACAAATATGTAACTACACAGATATATGGTAACAGTAGTAAGCAAAAATACCTTATGGCGCTTTGATCTCCGTGATGGAGATTCTTCCCAAGACAACTCCCTATGAGAGAAAGAAAGAAGTTGAGAGAGATTACAATACAACTCATTCTCTTCTGTACCAAGACGGCATGTCACAACAATATAGCAGTAACCAGTAACGGTATACTTGAGAAACTAGTAGCAGAAGTAGTAGGAAAGGGAGAAAGCAAAAGGACCTAGAAGTGTCATCATCGTCGTCAACCAGAGAGTAAG